CATTAGCACCTCTAGTAATATATTTACTGAGAAAAATGGTGACGTGTTCAACACTTATTTTACCCATTGTACCTGCGTATGTTTTAGGAACTAGTTTCAGTTTTTTGTGGTCTTGGTCTTGACTCGGTATCCCTTGGTTTTGGTCTTGACTACAACACCACCACCGTGCTGACAGATGTGTGGGAGCTGACAGGCTGGCTTTGCTGCTGTGCAATATGGGTTATTTTTAGCAGCACAAAATGTCAATCTGTAATCTTAAGAAACAAAACCTCAGAATAAAGACTGTCCATCATTCAGCTGCAGTTTAGTTTCAGTCAGAAAGAATTTAGCTCCCTGACAGGTTTAATCGTAAAGATGATGAGTTCACAAGCTAACAGTTAGCATCAGAATAATCAGTTTCGTTCAGTTTTAACTTTACAACAAGCAGCTGAGTGTTTTTAACRCAGTTCAGAGTTTCTCTTTTTGTTTGCTGCTCACTTTAAAAGTCTTTAAATCAGCTTCTCGGTTCCTTCAGGGTCACGAGTGAGCTAAAGGATGTTGTGTGTGTTTGGGTTGATTAAATTAGGCCTGCAGACAGCTGAAGCCCTCAGAGGCAGGCGGAGGGGTCTGGGATCCGTGTGGAGGAGGCGGCTCGGCTCGGAGGAGMGGCAGAGTGAGTGACGGAGGAAGAGGAGCAGATGTGAACAGAGTTCATGTTGTGTGATGGTTTACGTGGCAGAGCTCCGTCGCTCYGCAGCTCACCCCGTCAATCTGAGGGTTAATCAGGTTAACGGAGGCGACAGCTGAAGGCTCGGACTGAAGCCCGGCTCAGACSCAGGAACAGCAGCTCTTTGTTGATGAGCCTCGTCGTCCTGCACCCTCACTGTATCCCCCCTTGAAGAGGCGGAGGGTCCGGTCAGACAGAGGACAGWGGAGCAGCAGGATGTAAATCAGAGCTCTGACTTCTGTTTGTTGACAGTTTAGATTGAGTTCTCACTGAGATGATTCCAGTCTGAACATGAGGTTCTCTAATTTTAACATAAAACATGTTTTAAATAAGTAGTTAATAAAATGAATTAACTTGGAGAAGACCCCGGGTTGTTCAGATACCCTCTCTGGTCTGGGAACACCAGGAGGAGCTGGAGAGTTCCTCTGAGGAGCAGGCTTATTATAGTCAACGAAAACAAAATAACAAAAACTGAAATCAGGCGTTGAGGCGTCTTTACGACTCCTCGTGGACATGCCTGTATTACACACGATGCTGCGCACGCCCATATGTATGCATGTGATCCACAGAGATCACAATAGGAAAAGGAACGAGCACAACATCCATATTTTCAAAAATAATTCACCAAAGACCGAGCAGTTTTATCAAAACCCTTGATATTAATAAATATATGGACATACAGTATTTATACATAAATGTTGTCAAAATGTACATCTATGACATGTATCTTTCTGTTTGGGAGGCTGATGGAAACATGCAGCTTGCAACATCAACACACATGATACATGTGGATTTTATTCTGAAATCAGAAGTATCAAAAAGATATTAATGCAGTTTCAGCTGTGTTCAGTCAATGATTTTTCAATTTGTCTGAAACTGAAAAATCATTAAATAATTA